CACTATTTTCACTTCTTTCATTAGTTTCATTAGTTTCATTAGTTCCAATTCCTGTATTTCCTTCATTTCCTGCATTAGTTCGTTCCATCTTGCTTAACTGAACACAGCCCGGGCTTTAGATGTAAAACAAAAATAAAATAACGACGCAATAGCGCTGATAGCGTACTCCCCGAACGCAGCCTATGTGATTAGTCAATTCCACGAGACCTGCGACTTGCGTTTAATGTAGAACAGCCTTTAAGATCCACTTTTGAGGATATGGCGCTAAAACCAGCGGCTGAAACCGTCGTAAGAAACTACAATAGGATAGCTACTCTCAAGGTTTCTGTCTGCTCATATCACGTGCTGATTTTCAGTACTGACAGTGAATAACGGGACGCATATATTAGTCCCTGCTATTGGTATATTTTCATATTCTGGTGTCCCTAAACGGAGCAAAAGCTCCCACCATCGTCAGATTTTCGTCTGTGCGCGTCGTGATCGAAACGCTTTGTCTAGATAACCGGCAGCGGCCGAGCACGTATGTGACATGGCGTCCGGATAGAAAGAAAGTTAACTGCTAAATAAGCGTTAATGTTGTTCTTATGACATTGACTGATCGAAAAGGCAACATCCGAGGCCGCGAATTTCCTACAGACACTGGCATTAATGGTAATGCATGCGAGGAAACCGCAAAGGATCAGCGATGGGTAGGGTTCTACCGTCAAATACCCTGATACTTCTCTTTCTCTCTCTCTCTCTCTCTCTCTCTCTCTCTCTCGCTCTCTTCCTCTCCTCTTTTCTTTCTCTCTTTCTCCCCTCTCTTCTCTTTTCTCTCTGACACACGACCAACCTCTTTCTGTCTCTTTTCCACTTTCTTTCCCTCTCTACTTCCCTCTCTCTTCCTTTTGCTATCTGTTACTGTCTGTTTCGCCTCTCTTTGTCTCTCCGCGCTAACACATCTCATCTCTCGTTATCGACAACGTCTGTCCATTCGCCCGTACGACCTGCTCGGCTACACACACGTACCGTAATACTGCCACAAACCTTGTCGCACTGTACGTTCTGCGACACGACAAAATTTCCACGATGGGAATCCGATCGGGTATCATTCCTCGTGGAAATGAGCGCAGTGGCGGTGACGGCAACGGCGACGGACAGCGCGCCACGTCTTCTCTCTCTCACGGTCCGTTGTCTTATGATTCCAGGTACTTCGAAAAGCATCAGGCCCATCCCTATCAGGTAAATAGTCATATCTACCATCTTACCTCACTTGTACCCATCGGATTACAGTGAGAGAGGGGGTGAGATTTTCCTACACTCGGAGACGGCAACATTTAACATTGGTCTGTTTGCTTATCCAGACGCATGCATTAATTTTGTCTATGGTTACACATTGCCAGAAAAACAGATAGATAGTTTCAAGAAAAAATCCTTTCTATTTTTCTATATGGAGGACATGAACTGATCAGGCTGCAGTACTAACAGTTCTGTAAAGCAATTTTGAAATTTCTATTTCTTTTAGTTGCCATCAGTTACCATACACATTGACAGGATACAATCTATTGTTCACCTATTGTATAAAAAATGTCTAGGCTGTGAGAAGTACTGAATCCTTGGTCCATAAACTCTTACTAACTCTATATCTCAACTTGAAAATTCAGATATATTGAGTGTTTTTTATACAATTTATATTTCTTTAACACTGCTTTTTCTTTATAGTAATAAGCTTACTTTGAACATAATTCTATTATGTTTGTTTTAGCAATGATTCAGTTTTTTAAATTATTGATATTGTGTTCTAAGATATTTCTTGTGGTTCGTCAGATCAGAACATTAATGTTCTATCAAATATGTCAATTCTATCAATTGTTAATTAACTTAATTACTGATAATTTAATAAAACTGAGATGTAGCTTGCATGTTTTATGAATTCTGATAAGCTCATTAGGTGAAAAAAGTTGAGTGACATTCTGAGAAATAATGTTCTTGTACAAGTACTTGAACATTTGTTGTATAACATTGAACTGAGATTTAGAAAATATAATAAGGAATAAGTTATACACAATTATATTATATTCATTTTTTATTGATTATAACTGTGGATGTTACTTTACCTTGAAACTATAGATATCATTTTTACTAAACAAAATTGAAAACTGAGTATGCATGTTTGTTTCAATGCTTTGCATAAATCATATGAAATATGAAGAACATGTAAGTGGAATACACATATATCTTGGTAATTTTTTGAACATTGTATATCAAACAACATTCTATTAATCTTGTAAACATAACCTCACTTTTCAAGAAATCAATAATTATTCTAAAAGTAATGTTTTAATAAAATTTAAGTAACACTTGATTGAAGATTCCAGTTTATTTTCTACTTGTATCAACAACTTTTACACATTTTAACCTTATATTTTGTTTAAAATTAGAATGTAAGTGTAAAAGTACTCAAATTATTTTTTCTTTATACTTAGAGAAATATTTTTTAGAGCAATAAAATTTTACAGTTTTAAAGACTGTTAGAACGTATATACGTAAAAAATTTTTATAGTGAGAGATTTGGAAAAAAATCTTTTGGTGAAATTATCAAATTAGTTACCTGTATTTAATGCTTGTCTGTATTCTCTTTTTTCTTCTTTTGCTTGTCAAGTTTCTAGTAATATTAGACACAAATAAAGCACATAGCTTATTATAATTATTTGAATAACGTAAATATTTGTACAGATTGATTTAAAGTGTTTTTCTTTGTATATATTATCAAGATATTTATAATAAAAGAGAAACGCAATTCTTTCTCTGTACAAGTATTAAAATTTATTTATGTAAAATTGATTTATTTATGTAATCTAGTGTTTTTCTTTACATACATAGTAACATTCACACATACACATGTGTCTAATAATTCAAATTGTAGAACGCAAAGTACAGCAGTTCTAAGGGTGGATATTCCTCTTCAACTACATCATCGGATAATCGCTACGAAGGACGTATGCGTGATTCTCCAAATGGTAACTCTTACAGTCCAGCTGGCAGCTTGGGAATGGGCATGGGAACCGATCGGGATAGCCCTCGCAATTATACATCTAAACCCCTTTACAAGAAGGAGAGAGAAAATAGAGACTATAAATTATCCTCTTCTAGAGACAAGTATTCCGGTAAATAATCTTTGTTTGCTAATTTTTCTCTAAATGAGTTATGTAGGTTAAATTTTTACATTGCGAAAAGTAATATGTATCAAGAGAAAAGTATATATTTGTAAATTTATGTACAAATTGTGTGTTTAAAATACCAAAGGTGTTTGTGTTTTACTATGAAATAGTATAACTTTCTTTTTAGAGTTTCTTATTTTTCTTTCCTTTTTTTCAGTATAAAAACAGAATTGTCTCTTAACATTTTCAGCTGTAACATACTTGCTTGCATATGTGTAGATTGTGCACGATCTCCAAAAGACAAGAGAAGCCGCGAGAGCAGGGACTCAGAACACAGGACCAACCATGATAGGAGTAGTGGAGAGGTATTTATATTTAACATTAATATGTAAAAGAACTTATTATAATTTATAAAAGACTAATAATTATGACAACAATAAGTAATTAAATTGTCATATTTTGCTAAAGTTAAAGAAAATTACTTAATTTGTTGTGTATACACACATATCGATTTTTTAGCATATATATGTATTAAAATGTAGTGAATTGTTTGCTAGAAATATTGTTATTCTTTTTCTATGTACAAATAAACTGTTAAATTTACACATGGTCATAATCTTAAGAGATAATATGAAAAAGTTTACTTATACATTCTTTCTAAGAAGTTTTAATATGTTTGAAAAGTTACAGATTAGAATAATAGTGTCTTTTTGTTTTTTTGTTTTTTTTCTTATAGATTCTACATCCCATAAAAATATCGTCCAATTCATCAAGAGAATCTTCATCTCAGAGAAAACCATCACACAATTCTTGTCAGGTAAGTATGTTACAACTTATTTTACGTTAATGAAAATTTATCAGTTTATTAGTTTAATGTGTTAATACGTATATTAATTATTAATAAATTTAAATTAATTGATTTAGAAGATTATATAAATATATTCAAATGAATTGGTTTAATAGGTGAAAAGTTTTACATTAGCATTTTAAAAGTTCTGTATATTTTTGTTATTAAAATTGTAAATACTTGGAGGTTTTACACAAGTATTGAAAAATGTATACAAAAATCACAAATTTTTTTATTAATAGTTTCAAGAATAGTACGGACGAATATAGCTACAACTTTTCGACCAAGTTTTGGAATTGATACAAATACTCTCCATCTATTCAATTGTTTCCGGAAATTTTAGAACAGTCTGTTTAGGATAAACGTGGTGATGAACGAGGAAGTACAATGGAACGTACAGCCAGGTTTGGCGACTGGTCGGAACACATGAGTTCGTCAGGAAAAAAATATTATTACAACTGCAAAACGGAAGTGTCTCAGTGGGAAAAGCCCCGAGAGTGGATTACTCGGGCAGATAATCGTCAACGCCAGTCTAGTGACTATTCTTCTAGGTCAAGTACGTCTAAATTTTTGACGATTAAATATTATACTAAGATGTGATGATTTTTTTTTATATACACAACGTAAATCAAATATATAGGATGTAAATATTATATACAACTGAAAAAATAACTTTTGAAATTTTAATTTAGTTTTAAAAGACCAAGTAAATTTTTCTTTTTTTGATTACATTTGCGTCGACTCTTTCTTATATCCTCTTTACTCTTTCTAAGTTTATTAAAATATAAAATCTTACATTAAATACACTCTTTCTATGTGAAACATAAGAATTTTCAGAATCTGAAATTCTTTTGGACAGGTCATGATAAACATTCCAACTCGCGATCAAATAGCAGTAGCAGTATGCGAGATGGTAAATCGTCGCGACAATCTGACAAACGGGAATACTGGAGTTCGTGTGGCGGAAGCAGTGGTAGTAGAGAAGATGTTTCTGTGAGAGAGAGAGAACGGGAAAAGGAACGTGAACGGGAGCGGGAACGGGAACGGGAAAGAGAATCATGTAGAGAAGAAACAAGCGTGGAACGTCAAGCTCAAGATATGGACATCTCGCCGGGCGATTCCACACCAACTTCGGAACCTTTGACGTCGTCCGCTCACGATCCACTGCCACAGGGTCCAGTCCTCTTAGCCACTGGTACGTTCTTTGCCGATCGTGTGCAAGGTGAGGCACGTAGAGCACATTAAGTTCTTTTAAAATATTAATTTTAGAAAAAAATTTGAAATAAAATGTTAAATTTAAAGCAAGTATATTTAATAATTTTATATTTTCTTACAATATGTTTAAAAAAATAGCATTTTTTAAATATCGTGCGTCACAACTACATTATTTCATTAATTTTTTAAATATTTTTTCTAAACTCCATATTTCGAGATATCTGAGATCTGTATTACGCTATGTCTAATTCTAAGTCTTCCAACTCGCGCACGGCGTACGGTTTGCGCTACGAAATCCCTTTGCAGTCACGTAATCAGTTAGAAGACTAATTCGTGCGCGAATTCTTCATATTTACATCGCTTTATGTTTAGCATTGCCCCGGTTAGCATCACATCCACCATCAACGACATCGCAGACAACTGGAAAACTTAGTTCACCTACACAACAACAGGGAAGTAGCAACGCGCCAGGACCACCAGTGTCACTGGCTAATCTTCCAAAATTATTGTCACAAATTACAGGCAACAAAGAACAACCTGACATCACACCGCAGAAAGCGTTACAGACAATTCAAACAGCTATCTTATTATCCAGACAAGTAAGAGACATTTTATATCATTGAAATGTTACTGAAATTATGCAGAGATGTGCATGAAGTAAAGTTTTTTTCTTATTTTCTCTATTTTCTATAATTCTTTATCTTACATTTTTCTCATCTTTTTTTATTTCCGAAAACTAATAATTAAGTTACTAATAGCGATTTTTTAAAATAGTACTTTATTTTTTGTTTTTATTTTAGAACACGTGTAATGATACTTATGTAGTGTTATTTGATTGTTTTTTATTACAGCAATCTGTTAGTGGAGATCGAAGTAGTAGTGGAAATGATGTGATGGTTCCGTTAAAAGTTGATACAAGTGGCAATGTTACCAGCGAAGGTCCACCAACTCCCACACATTCTGAAACCCAGGATTGTATTGATGCGCGAAGACGTAAGATGTTTTTATCTGTTGAAAATTCGAGAATATTGAACTGTTAACAAAAAAATGAATTTATTTTTACTTTATACTTTTAGTAAGTCCTGGAGGAACGAATTCTGGAGTGCAAGGTCTGAGTTCGTTACAAAGTCTCAGTACATTAGGATCTCTTGGAAACTTGAGCAATGCGGGAGGTTTACAAGCATTGTCTAGAGTACAACCTCCTTTAACACCTTCTTTAACACCATCACTTGCTAATCATTATCGAGAAGATTTAACTCAACATGTACGTGCATTTCCTGCTGATATTCTCGAAAAACAGGTGAGAATTCAATATTTTTCTAGAGTTCTCTTCTTTATATTAAACAATCTTTCGAATATTTTTCGAACATTTCATATTCAGGCACAAAAACTTAGTGAGGAAGCACACACAATGGGCAGTTTGCAGTGTACGAGAGTGTCTGCAGAATTAAAAACAGCTCGATCGATAGTGAGGCTGACAGAAATCCAGGCAACATTACAGGAACAAAGGTAAATGCATTTACTTATATACTCATATATGTTTAAAAGTACAGATATATTGTTTCTTTTTAGGATATTATTTCTCCGTCAACAAATTCAAACGCTGGAGGAGTTAAAATCCCAAAATTCCTTTATGTCTGACGATTCTTAGTCTCTCTAAGAATCTTTATAAAATAATTATAATTACAATCTATAATTAATTCAGCGAAAAAAATAAAACATGATTATTAATATTCTCATTAATATTGAATAACTAAGATTGTACCTAAATTATAATATCATAGAAGTGATATATTAGCAAATAAATATGGGCTGCTCAGAGAGGCCCGGTTGTTCCATTTATCAACCAATGAATCCTTAATACATTTAATATTAAGCTAATTCACAGCACCTCTCTGAGAAGCACAACAGGCCTATCCAAGTCGCAACACTAAGTAAATAGAAAAAGAAAAATCGATTTTATCAGTTCAATGCAGACTACTGAATTGTCTACATCGTGTATTTACCTATGTTATACGTGTCAATGTTTCATATCCCAAGATTAAATGGCATTTTAACTAGTTAAAAGATTTTTGTTGTAAATCTCGGAATAAAATTCGTGCCAGAAGTTTTAATACAATTCTTTATCGCCATAGTCATCACTTACCTAATTTCCCAAAATCTTATCAAGAATGACTTGAAAAACTTGTACAAGTTAAAAAATATACACATATATTTAAATAGAGAAGAAAAAGTGTGAAATTATACTGTATGTTTTATATTCAAATTAATTTCAATCTCGAATTATTTTATGTAGTTTCTTGACATTGTATAATATCGCAGATGTTGATAATATTGTTATACGTGTTCTCTTTACATCATGTAAGTAAAAAGTATAACAAAAAATGAAACTTTTTTTTAGACTAACACTTAAATATAGCTACTTTTTAATTTCTATATAAATGTGTAAATAGTTGAAGTAGATCAAGTATTATTTGGTAAACCTCTATGCATGACAAATTTCTTAATAGCAAGAAATTATTGTATCGAAAACTGTAGATTTAAAATAAAAATACACGCATTTTTTACATTATAAATTTAGACAGCTTTTTTACCTTATTTGTAATTTCCTGTACAATACTGTGTCAAAAAGGAAGGAAAGGCTGTTATAATGTTATCCTGTTAATCTGTTTAGTAAATGTACTATGCAAAGATGTAATACTGCGTATGCAAAATAAATACAATATGAATTATTAACTCTAAGAAATTATTAAAAGATATTATTAAAAGAAATTCCTTCATAAAGTAGTTTTAGTTTGAACAGTTTTTGTTTTTTGTTCTAATATGTTTATTTATAAATATTTTATAAATAATTTATAAGAATAAAAGGAATATATGTTAAATGATATGTTATCTATATCAAGAATTATGTACAAAAACAAATTACATTAAAAAATTATCTTACAAAATAAGATTATATTTTGAAACAAAGTCTCTTACATAGACTTATATAATAGACGGAACATTTATATGACGAAGTTGAAGACAACATTAAAGGACAGAGATGAGTAGTATTAAGTAGTTGTCTCTCTCTCTTACAATAAAAGCAGTGGGGAACCAATCATCTTAAGCGCATAGCCATATAAATCTATGCTTACGCATAAAAGGCCATTACTTTTGACTTGTGGGCTCGAGACGTTATAAAGGTTCGAGTCTTCTATAGATATAATTTTTTTATTATTTTATTTGTTTTTAAAGAGAAACAACAGTTGGTTACACTAAAGCATAAACAACTGTTGTTAATTAAAGATAGCTTAATTTAGAGAAAATTTAAGTTAAAAAATATATTAAATTAATAAGAGTAGGGAAGTGGCAGTTCGAGAAAATAAACCAATAAATTCGTTTGGGTCTTTGGGTCAATAAACTTCTTTATTTATAAATTAAAGAAAAGACAAAAAGCTCCAAAGATTTAAAAAACCAGATGAAAGGCAGTTGAAGCAAGACACGGATGTTGTTGTGCAAACACGTAAAGATGATTTATATTTTAAGATAATGTGTATGTGTATTGTGATAACGTTTCGACCATCGGTTTAGGTCTTTATCAAAATCTTTAGTAATGTCAATTACTGATCAGTAATACTCTCATCTGGTTCTTTATTTATATTTAATAGACGTTTCTACTCGTGATTAGAGTCTTCTTCAGTATTAATATTATAATTAATAATAATTCGTAGTTATAGGAAGAACTCAGTCCATCGGACTCAGACCTTAATCACGGGTCGAAACGTCTATTAAATATAAATAAAGAATAATTAGTGATAAATAGAGATTACTCTCAGGCTCTATAAGTCTTTTAAACTAATAATATATGAATAATATATCTCTATTTATCACTAATTGTTAGAATTTACGCTGGAGGAAGAAACGGTATTAAAAAGATCTGATCATATTTGATAGATATACGAAGTATTGCGAGACAAACTCCAAATGCTTCGGTGGCCTAACAGGGAAGGCGACGGCCCGGAAAGCCGGAGATTCCAGGTTCGACTCCTGGCTGAGGAGTTTTTTTTGCAATATTTTAAAATTAGTTAGGGGGGTATACGGGGTCCTTCATATATATGTGATGCAAATCCAGCATCCTATATGGAGGAAAAAAATTATTTCGTAGTATATATGTGTATACATATATATATTTAAGCACATTCACGCACAACATCCTGCGAACGGCTCTTAATGTTCTTATATTCATATATTATTAGTTTAAAATAAATAAAGAAGTTTATTGACCCGAAGACCTGGTTTATTTTCTCGAACTGCCACTTTCCTACTTTTATTAAAATTTCACGAGGAAGCATATACTAATATTAAATTAAATTCTATAGAAGTATAAAGTAAATTAAATTATAAAAAGGTCTACAAATTGTTAGTGTTAATTATTAGCTGGTTTGGTTTGGTTTGGTGCGCTTATGGCTCGTAGACCTATGGAAAGGTTAGTTCTATCAGAGAGAAACCTGAGAGCGGCCATCCTANTGTAATTTTTTACGACGGTTTCAGCTGCTGGTTTTAGCCGTATTTCCACAAAAGTGGAACTCAAAGGCCGTTCTACATTAAACGAAAGTCGCAGATCTCGTGGAATTGACCAATTGCAGAGTCAAATCAGCCAATCGACCAACGTGATTGATCAGTTCCACGAGACCTGCGACTTGCGTTTAATGTAGAACGGCCTTTGAGTTCCACTTTTGTGGAAATACGGCTAAAACCAGCGGCTGAAACCGTCGTAAAAAATTACTATAGGATGGCCGCTCTCAGGTTTCTCTCTGGTTCTATACGCCAGTCTATAGTCATTTTTTTATCCTCAGAACGTAAGGGGGAATTGTTGTGCAGTACTACTACCACGCGGTACACAGTACACGGCCGTCTTTCACAGTGAGCGTGCCCATCTGTGTCAGGCTCGTGCTCAGGGTAATGTGACTGTGACCGCCTTGTGGGAAAGGGATTAATTCGAGGGGGGATTATACTCGAATTAATTATTGGAGGTTTGGTTTAGTTCGCAGCCCCTGCACTCAGGCCGCGAGACCACTGGGCCGGTCGTTAATTGTGGTTAATTGTTAGCGCCTGCCAAGTCTCTCAACAAGTCTATACACGCTGCATGCATGCTATCATCTCTATCTATCACTCTCTCTCAATTGACTCTCGGACGTCTATCTTCGTTGCTCTCAACCACTCCCTCGGCCTGCCGCGGCCACCAATCAACTCACTGCTAAGAAAGAAGAAAACTACTCCACGACTATTTCTGTTTTTTAACGAAGCTTCAGCTCCTCTTATACGAATGTTCCGTCTATTATATAAGTCTATGGTCTCTCACCATAGGTTTGGTCATAGGATTCGACTCTGAGACTGCGCATGCGACGCATCATGCCTCCTGCATTCCGTCCTTCACAGCCGTTTAGTTGCGCTTTTACATAAGTATTTTCTTTATTGCTTTTTGTACGCGCTTATTACAAGTAAGTACATCGTATTGTTTAATACTACGCGCTTTGCCAAGCCCTAGTATCGTCGGCCCTTGTTGGTGCTGTCCGCCAGGCATACGGCCTGTGGCCGCCATTTTTCCGTTCAAACATCCAAATAACCTTACGCGCCAGTTAGTGTAAAATCATTTGCTTGTTCGTTTTTGCGTCATGGACGCCAGTTTTGACCGGGGGAATACTCCTCGGAAGCTTCCACTTCCGACGGAAGATTCACCCCTGTGTGGCAAAGAGCAAGAGTCAGCCGGGGCTTCCCCTTCTTGTGGCCCGTCCCCCCTCGCTAGAGCAAAGAAAAGACAGGCCTCTGAGCAGGCCTCAGCGGGAGAAAAGCGCATTTTCTCCCCCTTCTCTGATACTCAACTCGCCCTTCGTGCCAACAGGTACTTGCCGGACTCCACTGGGCCATATTTGGTACATATAGAGTGCGGAGTGTCCGGACAAGTATTTCGTGGTGACAATGGCGGTGCTGGGTCTAACCTGTCTGCCGGCACCGCCAAAGCTCTTAGCGTTCTCGGCCTGGATAAAAGACTAAACTCCTTGCTTTACGACCTGTTCCAGGAGGCGTATGATCTTTGGTCCATAGGGAGAAACAAATTTTCGGTTGTTTTCACGTCCGGAAAGTTAGCGAACAGCTTCGTCGAGTCTTTTTCGTCGGTCGGTGACAAAATTACTCTTTCGGACAGCTGGATTGCCTTTGTTCCCAGCTTTAGAATTGTTAAGCAGTATGTTCTTCGAGAAGTTGATGACGATGATACAGCGGAAGAGGTTCTTGCTAGCATTCGGCCCCCTCCGGGCTGGGGACGTTCCTGGACCCCTCCTTTTGAGGCTATAAGACTGCAAAGACGGGTTTCAGGTGGGGGAGCTAACGCCCCCCCCCCGATCCTGGTCAGCACAAACACCTATTTACTTTGCTTTAGATCTACGTGTGTTCCCCAATCCTGCATATACATGGGCAAAAGGGTGTTTCTACACCCTTATGTCTATAAGGTCAGAAGGTGTGGGTTCTGCCAAAGACTGGGACATACTTCGATGTCCTGCAAACAGTCCAAAAGTGGCAAACAGTGTTGTGAGCGGTGTGGCAAGTCAGGCCATAGTGGCTCTGACTGCCTCAGCGACGATTTCGAATGCATCAATTGCATACGTCTCAAGCTCGGAAATGCCAAACACCAGGCGTCTGACCCCAAGTGTCCTGCATTCCTGAGGCAGAAGAATATACACAGAATCATGGCTCAGAAGGAAGTTTTCTTCAAAGAGGCTGCCTTGCTTTGCGACAAGGGCGGTGGTGGTGTCCGCGGGTAGAATGTTACTCCACCTTACCACCCTCCTCCCGTTCCACCTCCCACACTCGGTGAGTTTTTCCCAGAAGGAGTTTTTCAGTTTAACGCTCCTAAAAAAACGTACAAGACCACCGGTGATAGCACGCCCGGTGCAAGTCTTCCCAGGCTACCTAAGCCACGGAGCGGTAATCAGTCGGTCTCCAAAGACCCATCCTTTCCTCCCCTACCTCTTGCAAAAAACAGTAATACCGTTCAGGTAGAAAAACTTAGCGTTAAGCCAGTTCCTCGAGTTAAGAGCAGTGACAACATTCCTGGTTTGAAAACCTATAAACCACCTACTATTACCAAAGATCTTCTTCTCAAGGTTCAACAAAACCTTTCATGCGATCCCAAATTCGGTATCTCTCTTCTAGATAAAGATCTAGAAATAATACTTAAATCTGCGTTTAGTGCAGTAATTCTGTAATAACTTTTAACAAAAATTTTGTAACACCTCTTAAACCCCTTTCAGCTTTCCTGCAAAGCGTCGTATTCTCTAAACTCTCTTCTCATAATGCAACAGAACTTCAACTTCAAATCCCTGAATTTTATGCAATGGAACTGCCGTTCCTTGGTTTGTAAGCTAGATATTGTCAAGTTCTTGTTACAGGAAAGCTGTATCTATGTCGCTGCGTTCTGCGAAACGTATATGGATCGGTCTTCCATAGTAACTCTTCCTAATCACGAAATTGTGTCAATGGATAGAAATAGACAGGGTGGTGGTGTTGCTCTGGCTATTGCTAAACATATCAAGTTTCAACTTGTCACAGACGTCGACATCTTTCAATTGTGCTCGCGCAATTATGTGGAACTTATAGCGGGCAAACTGTTTTTACCCAATAATCAGTTTATACACGTTTTTTCGGTGTACAGCCTGCCTTGTAGGTCTG